TCGCCCAGGTTTAGTCGCTAACACCGCTACGTCTGGTGTCTCACAAGTCACTCGGTTCGATGGAACCTCTACGAAAGCGCGTTCTGTGAAGAAAGGTCAAGCGACTATTGAATTTGGGTGCTACCGTTTCGGCAAACTTCAAGTCATGGAATGGTCACTTGGATCTGCCCATGATGTCATCTTGGGAAAACCTTGGTTTACCAAGTTTCAGCCATGTATCAATTGGCGTTCGCATGAGATTTCGTTTCCAAGTGTGTCTTGTGCACCTCCATCAACGGTTGCTAGTCAAGCAGCTGTGGAGATTGCTGCTGTTGACTTTAAACGTAATGTGAAGAAACATGTGTACAAGGAAGTGTACCGTGTCAAAATTTGTGCGGTCACGCCAGTTAGTAAGTCGACTCCTGTTCCGATCACTCACTTATTGAAGCGTTTTACTGACGTCTTTCCGGAAACTTTACCGGATGGTTTACCGCCTTCACGTCGTGTGGATTTCGAACTCCACATCAAACCTGATGCTGTTCCAAGTAGCCGTGCTCCGTTCCGCCTGTCTAAGGTTGAGCAGGATGCACTGGATCTCTTCGTTGCAGAGAAGCTAAAGAAAGGATGGATCGAAGTTTCTGATTCTCCTTGGGTGTCCAACATCTTTGGGATTCCAAAGAAAGATCCTACTTCTGGACATCAGCTGTCTCGCTCTGAGTGGGTACGCTCTGGAAACTCGACTTTGCCTATCCGTTGGGTCATCGACTATTGCTATGTGAACTCGCAGTCGATTGTTCCAAAGATTCCACTGCCTCGCATCGACGAACTCTTCGATCAGATGTCTGGTTGTGTCATCTTTTCAGTTCTAGATTTGGCTCAAGGATATCACCAGATGCGTATCGCGCTCAAGAGTCGCAAGTATACCGCCTTTCGCACGCACGCAGAAACTTACCAGTGGTGTGTAGCTCCTATGGGATTGGCCGGTATGCCTGGTGTTTGGTCTCGCCTCATGAGGGTACTCTTTGCGAAGTACCGATTCATTGTTGTCTACTTGGATGACATTTGTGTCTTTTCCACCAGTCTGGAAGAGCATGTGGAACATCTTCAAACTCTCTTCGAGGTTCTACGTCGTAAGAATTTGTTCTGTCATCTCTCGAAGTGTCACTTTGGTCAGTCCGAAGTTAAGTTTCTCGGCCATACGATTTCTGCCAAAGGACTTGCTGTTGATACTCGCAAGACTGAAGCGATTGCAAAGTGGTCTACGCCTCTAAACCAAAAGCAACTACAAAGCTTTTTGGGTCTCGCAGGTTATTACCGTCGCTTTATCCGTGATTACGCCATTATTGCGTTGCCTCTTGGTTCTCTTGTCAAGAAAGAACATGTCTGGAGCTGGGGTCCAGAACAGACGCGTTCGTTTGAGGAAATCAAATCCGCTCTTCAAGAAGCACCCGTGTTGCAGTTACTGGATTACGAGAAACGTTTCATCGTGACAACAGATGCCTCTGGCTACTGTGTTGGTGGCGTTATCTCTCAAGTTCGTTCCGGTCAAGATCATCCGATAGCCTTCTTCTCGAAGAAACTTGGTCCTCACGAGATTAATTGGCCAACACACGAGAAAGAACTCTTCGCTATTAAATTAGCGTTAGACAAGTTGCGTCACTACCTATATGGTCGTGAATTTGATATTTACACGGACAACACTGCTTGCAAATGGTTTTTGCACCACCCGAAGGTTTCAGCGAAATTAGCTCGCTCTTTGACGTTTTTCGCACAGTTTACGTTCAAGTTGCATCACGTTAAGGGACACCTCAATGTGGTTGCCGATGCGTTGTCGCGTCAATCTTCAGAGCATGCGATCAATACGGTTTCGTTTCATCAGTGTACTACGCGCTGCCACACCCGTGCAGCTCGAAACCTGACGAATCGACGCGTTATTACCGACTACCGCAGTCTTAACCAACATTTGGTTCGACCACCCTCTCGCCCTCAATTTCGTGGGGAGGATGTTGCTGCTGGTTACTACACGCACCCTGTTCCGACCTTAGCTCAAGCTTACCGACATGTACCAGTGTAAACACCACGTACCGTCGCTGCGGCTGAGAATATTGTTGTGGCCACCAATGTGACCCAACAAGCTCAAAATTAGAGCTCGCTCGGTTGGTCTGATTCGATTAGCAGAGAGTTCGCTGCTGGATATCGCAATTGCCCAGACTACGGAGATCGTTTTAAGCATCCGGAACAACCATTTGTCCAACAAAATGGTTTACTTTTCCGCAAGTATCAGACGATGATGCGCTTGTGTGTTCCGTTTACTTGGGACAATCATCTTCGAACTTCCATCATCTCTTGCTTCCATGACTCCAATATTGCTGCTCATCCTGGAGCTCATCGAACGTACCTTTGCATTTCGCAATGGTATCATTGGCCCACCTTGGACTAAGACGTTCGCGATTATGTGCAAAGTTGTGAAACTTGCACTCGCTGGAAACACAGCAATGCTCACAAGAATGGCAAGATGATTCCTATTCCGATTCCTGAGGAATGCTGGTCTGTCGTCTCTATGGACTTTATCACTGGATTGCCTGATTCCAATGGTTTTGATGCAATCTTGACTGTTGTCGACAAGTTGTCCAAGCGCCCGAAGTATCGTGCGTGCAACCGGACTGATGATGCACAGAAGACTGCGTATCACTTCTTTGATTGCGTTGTTCGCCATCACGGCTTACCATCGATCATCATCAGCGATCGAGATTCCAAGTTCGTCTCCAAGTTCTGGTCATCCTTGGCTAAGCTAATGAGAATTCGTCTGCACATGACAACTTCCTATCGTGCCCAAGCCGATGGAAAAACCGAACGCCAGAATCTGATTCTGGAAGACGCTCTACGCTGCATGATATCGTACCACGGACGTGATTGGTCGGATAATCTCGGAACGATTGAGTATGCTCATGCTACGCATCTACCGGTATGTCGCCCTTTGAAGTTGATACTGGACGCAAAGAACGGAATCCGTTGAATCCTTTGAGCAATCCCAGTACCATGACTCAAATTCAGCTAGAATTGTTGAATATGCGAAACAGTTCCAGGACAAACGCCAAGAGATCATTGATTTGGCAAAGAAGCATCTTCTTCAAGCCCAAGAACGTCAGAAGAAGTACTATGACAAGAAGCGATCATCGATCACGTTCAAGAAAGGAGACTTAGTCATGCTGGATACACGTCGCATTCCTTCCGCCCATGTGACTCAAGACATTGATGGGAAATGGGCTAATCTCGCTGCTCGCAAGATTGGACCATTCGAGATTGTGAAAATGATCAACCCGAATGTGGCCAAGTTGAATCTTCCGCGAAGCATGAGTCGTCTGAACTCCACGT